TGTATGTATGTATGTATGTAGGGCTCAGAAGACCTCTACGGAGGATTGCTGGTAGCCCCAGGCGTAATACACGCCGATTTCTCGCTGCGCTCTCTCGAGCCATTGTTCTGCACCCGCGTTCTCCCCCGTGGCATCGCCACGCACGGGCAAAGTGCAGCCGAGCACGCAAACGACTGCGTGCAGCACCGCCTCTTGGTCAGGGGCCGAGGCACAAGGACATTTATTTGCTGGCGACCCATCACGGACACTCGATGGGCAAGCAAGGATGGGGTGCCAAGAACAGCAGCGGACACCAAGGTGGCCAAAACTATGGCTACAAGTTTTGGCGTGGTGCCTGGCCGCGGCAGGAACCTCCCTCGACTGCCTTTCCGGCCTACGACAGTCGCCGCGGCCAAGACTGGATGAGAGCGGAATATCGACCCTGCCAAGCCGGGCTTTCCTGCTATCGTTGTCGACGACAAGGACGAGTTGTCCCCCCCGGAAGAGCCAGCGGATCCTGGTGGTACAGCTTGACTTCTGAGCTGATGCAGGCGAATTGTGAGGTTGTCGAGCCTGCAGTGCTACAGCTGGTGGAGCCAGAGGTGACATCTGACGCCTGTCGTGGTGAACTCAGGCGTCTATGTCCCGCAGTCTCCCTCGGCGTGTCTCACTGCAGTGCTGTTGACCCCTCGGTGAGATGGGTGGTCTCCATGGTGACGGGCAAGGGTAGGAGTCTTCTGTTTTGTGTACAGGGTGTACATATGCGGGAGGCCCTGTTCGGACCCTCTAGCCCTACCTCTGCTGTAATCTCTAGGCCCTGCTGTGGCGGAGCTCGATTGGGGTTTGAGCTTCTCCGCGGCCCTTGTTTCCGCCTGGCCCGCAAATCCTGCCCTTTTGGCGACTTATCCGGTGCACAGCCCGACCTTTCGGCCCCTTCCAGGGCCTTACACACATGTGTTTCTGCAGCGCCCAGCCGCCTGAGCGCCCCTTGTGGATCTGCTCGTATACCAGATGTTCCTGAGCGGATTTCCTGGTTGCCTCTTTGTTCCCCCGCCCTAGGGGTTTTTCGGTTTAGTCACCCCGTGACCGTCTGCATAGATAGTGGATTGACGGTGTCTTTGCCTGGCAGCACTTCCTTTTCCGACAGTTCTATGGTGGAGCGCAAAAGAGGCATATCGGTTGCTCAGGGATGCCCGCCCACCTATGTCATGTCCGATCGGTTGTGTTGCTGCTCTGCTTCGTTCCGGTTCGATCTTTCTGCCAGTTTTGTCTGCGAGGAGCGCGAAAGAGGCATATCGGTCGCTCAGGGATGCCCGCCCTCACTTGGCACTTCTGTCGCCCGTGTGTCAGGCCCGTCTGGTGGCACGATGGCGTCCTTCCAGCATCTCTGCTCTGGGTTGTGTGTCCTTGAGCAGATCGGCTACTATTTGGTTTCTTTCTTCATGTCGATGGCCGGGCTTGTATTACTGATGCTGTGGCGCCTCCTTCTTAGGCCCTTGGACGTCAAGCGATCCCCTCTCGGTCGTGCGCTTTTGTTGCCTTGGGCCGAGGATCGCGTCTGTGCCCTGGCTTCCCTCGAGGTTGCCTCTCCCAATAAGCCCGTTTTCCGCTGGCAGCTACAGCCGCCGCGGAGGCGTTGCCGTACCGGTTTTGGATCGTGTCCTGGGTTGTGCGGGGTGCTCCTGCTTTGGCTTGGCTTCTTCCACATGCCAACCTGTGTTTGGTCGGCCCCGCCTGGGCTCTCAGCTTTTGTTCGTGCTTCCGAGCAAGTCTCGAGTGCGTTACCAAGCAGCTTGCCGCCTCCCAGCAGCCATGCCTCGCGACCAAGCAGCCCAGGTACCACACCAGGCTTGACGCAACACAATGCGGGCCGCTACTCAGATGGCAGCCACCCCTGGCCGCAGCACCGTGCTACCCCGGACAGACCGGACCCCAGCATCGACTGTGATACGGCCTACCGCTTGAAACTTGAGCGTACTGATCTGCCGCAGTTTAGCCCTGGTTGGGTTGGAGTGATCTTGTATGCCCCCTACTACCAACCGGAGTACTGGGCGTTGCACCTTCCAGAACCTGCTGCTCCGGCTAATGTTCAGGCCGCTGCGAATGCTCTGTTGCAGGATGCTTTTGGAGGTTATTTTGATACGCTCGTGCCAGTCCAGCCCTTGCGTTTCAGCGGATGTCTAATGTTCGTCTGCTACTCGTCGCATTTAGACCACCCTGGGGCAGGAGATGTAGCGGCGATCATAGATGCATCCCAGGTCGGAGGGCACTACTTCCCAGTCACCCTGGCCCGCACAGTGTCATATGAGCAGCTGCTCGCCTTTGTGAACCCCTTGACAAGCTATGGTTTTGATGACCTGGTGTTCATTGTAGGTGCCAATCCTCTTGAGTTTGGGCCGGGCAGCATGCTCACGGTCTCTCATGGCGATGTGGTGACAGTTGCGGGGCCTGAGACCCAGCGGCCGCCCACCGTAACGATGGCTGACACTCTTGCCGATCTGGACGGACTTGTTCCCCTCTCCCAGATGCCCTGGTCTAGGCACACGCCCAGTGTCTGTTTGTGGTACAAAGGCGTACGATATCTCCTGATGCAGCAGCACCATGCTAGCAGAAGCATATCTGAGGCAGTCTCCAGAGTTGTCGACAAAGACGACTCACAGTGGATCGCTTGTGCTTCGCACCATTTTAGCGACCTTGACGTTCAGGGTACACCGTGTGATCGGTTCTTGGCCGCCTTTGAGTACCCTAAAGTGTCAGCCACCAACCCGCTTACCCGCCATCGGAGGGATATTTGGGTGTTCCTCGATTTCCGACCATTAGGCCACCACCCGCAGGCCTATCTGGCCCATGTCTTCAGGATTCATGTACCCTCTATTCTGTCCAGATTTGCAATCCATATTCCGGATGGATTCTGTGTACATGTCGCCGGAGGTGTTATAAGCGGATCCGAGGTGCTTATTGAGCGTCATGCCACTCTTGTTTTCAGTGCGCACCCTACGATGGCACCCAATGACGAAGGTGCTTCAGAAGCCCCAGATGGGCCCGACAGGCCCCCTGCTCCTCCTGATGATGAGGCCCCGACGATGCTCCTGGAGACCCCTCCACTGGACCCCCCACTGCGCCCATGGAACCGTCAAGCCATCCTGTGCGCAGTGCCGGTCGAAGCCGATCACCCCGGCACTCACCTTCACCAGATGCGCCGTCTGCTACATCTAGCTACGGAGCCTTCAAGGCAACACTTCAAGGAATATTTCAGGTTTCCAAGGAGCTTTTGCCAGTTAAGGTCCCCCAGCGGGTTGATCTCGGAGATACCGTTTGTACCAGCTTCCTCGGTTCTGACCTTTCTGTCGAGATTGACTCTCTAGCCTGCATCCAGCCCTTCAGCCGTGGCTCTGCCTGCAGCTACCCGAACATCGGCTCAGACAGCTTGGTCCTGGAGGGTTTGCTCGCGCTAGGCGATTGGCCGGCTAAGGCCGCCAAGGGACCCTCAGGCCCGCCCTTAGGGTCTGACGCTGGTTTTGTGTCCAGGGCAGCTCGTGCTGGGCTTTCTTTAGCTGAGGTTGAGCGAACCGTGCCTTTTGCTGTCGATGAGCCTGTCTTTACGGTCCCTGAGCCAGGCGCTAACGTTGCCCAAGCCCAAGCAGGTGCCTTCGTTGACATCCAGTGTCTGGTCTATGCTCCTGATTATATCCCAGACATGCTCTTGGTCTCTTTGGCCATCCCATGCAGCGTGGAGCACGCCAGTGCCGCCTTTGAGGACGTCAGGGATGCCAGCCAAGCGCAATGCTTTGACCTGGTTTTCCCGGCAGCCCCTCAGCCAGCACGCCACTGTGCGGTGTATGTGGCTGCACCCGCTTGGTGCGTTGACAGGGTCGTTGTGCTTTTCAACCTTCTCGCTCTGGACAGGAGTATCTTCTCAGCGGCGGTCCCCCTCAGGCTCAACAAGGCATCCTTGTTACTTGTTGCTGGGAGAACTGCGCCTGCCGAGTATGATGTCTTTGTTCACGGCCTTGTGCAGCCCTTGGAACCAGATCTGTGGATTGAGCTGCGACATGGCCTCACTGTGGCTGTTGTTCCTGCGGGGCAAGGCCCACCTCACGGATGGATTCTCTCTGAGATGTTGCAGGAATCAGGGGGCTGGAACCACCGCGAGGAGATTTTGGGACCAGGCGGAGGCCGCAGACGGTCCGTTCGCACGGATATCTTCGAAGCCCTGGACTACCAACCTTGGCGGGCCACTCTTAAGCCCAGTACCCCGCGGGTGGGGGACCACATGGCTTGTGGCTTCATATCAAGTGGCGTGCTGGTCGCCGCAGAAGCTTTGTCCTGTGTACCATGGCCACCCGCAAGAGTTCGTGAGCACAGGCGTGTCTTGATCCTTGATTGCCGCCCCGTACTTCAAGCATTTCGATGGCGACTTGTTGATCAGGATTTTGTCTCGCTTCAAGTGCTTGCTGATCAGTTCCTGCATACCTGCCCGGACTCTCATCTTGTCGCCTTCAAGGGCGCTGACATTATTGAGACGCCCGAAGGTTTGGGGATTATGGTTAGCCAGGGTTTGATCATCAGAGTTGAGTTCCAACCTGAAGATACCACAACAGAGTCGGCTTCTGCAGTGCTGGCTACTTTCTCTGAGTCCGATGGTATGAGCCTTCCTGGTGCCGACCCTCTGGAGTCCCCCGGCCAGGGTGCGGCCGTGAGTCTGGCCGGTGAGAATGACCGTAGTCGGTCACCCCGACTCTCAGATGATGCACCACATGATGTTGAGCAGCCCTCAATGCTTCCAACTGGTACAGGCCTTCCTACGGACCGCGGTGAGTCCGATGCGTCACCGCTGGCTGATTGCCCAGTCCAAGTGCACACTGCTTTCGCTATCTTGATGCCAGGCTTTGTTTCTGAGTCAGTTGAGGTCACCTTATCTGTGCCCACTACAGTTACAGCGGCCCTGGCCTGTGTCCAGGCCCATCGTGACGTTCGTCGGGCATACGACTTCCCACGCCTTGTGCCGACCATTGTCCAGCCGGACCCGTGTTGGGGCCTTTTGCTCGCGTGCCCTCAGTGGACTCACGGTGCCGTCAGCGTCTGCATTGATATGTATGCGTACAGGCATCGTGTCTTCCACGTTGTTGGGCCTGCCTGTGTCAATCGGGACATTCTCCTTGATCTCGCGGGCCTTTCCCCTGAGGCGCACGTTGATGTCTTCTGCGATATGCAAGGGCCCTTGGCGCGTTCTGGAACAGTTGACTTGCGGGATGGCAGCACAATCACCATTACGGAGCAAGGTGGTGCGGCTCCTTGGAGTGCGCCCTTGGCCAGCATGCTCTGTACGCACTTGCCGTGGCACGTTGGCCCTGCCTTTAATTTTCTTGATGATGTCGACCACTACTGGCTTGCTTGTGCAGACGGTGCTCATGCCTTTGCGCTACTACCGAATCGATCCTCCTTCTATAAGGCGGATATTGCTGTCAAGCTTCGGTGCAACCCTCGTGCCCTTAGCCTCACGCCAGCCAGGCCTCTCCCGGTCGATGCCGCCATTTTTGGGTTCCCCTGCCACTCCGTGGTGGCAGCTATTGACAGGAGCGCTTTGGCTTTCAACGACAGCCCTTCTGTCGGCCTTCTTGATGCGCGGTGCCTGCTCAGGGGATGGATCCCCCTTGTATCTCTAGACGGTTGGGTCGACCAGAGATCACTCTTAGCCGGTGTGTGTCCCTGCCTCGCTGCACCCTGGGTCGCTTTGATCTGGGGGTATGAGGATGGCCGCAGATGGATATACGTGGAAGACGGTGAGGTCCTTGTGGCCTATTGCCGTCCGCGACTCGAGTCAGATGACGGCCACACCACTGCTACTGCCTCGGGGCAGCTTGACGGTCAGCCGGCACCCTTGGTCAGGCGTCAAGCTCCCTCCGGCCATGGCTCTCCGCTAGCAGACCAACGCAGTGGGCGTGTACTTCAGGCCACTGTTGGCCTCACATTGCTGGGTGCCGGTGATGCTTGTGATATTTGGACCTGTGCTGCTGCAGAGTCTCCCAATGCACTTGGAGTTGTAGAAGTCATGTGGCGCATCGCTCAACATTGGAGTGCTGTTGTTGACAGCAAGCGATGCCTCACCCCTATCCTCCTCCTTATTGCTTTTGGGCTGATCGGCTACGGCGGTGCCGTACTCAGCCAATACGCACTACCTGGCTCTGGTCATGCATGCGACCCGAGAAGTAGCCGGCCAATAGGGACCCTGACAAACAAAGCTGAGGCCGCCCGGCGAGATAGGCGCCATGTGATACTTACGAGCCCCTTGCTTTTGGCGCTCGTGGTAAGTGCCATTGCCATGGACTCGACCTTGGTTTTTTGCACTGGTGCGGTGTTCTTCGGCTTGGTGCCCATGCACTCTTGCGGATTTCACCTTTTCTGTGCTGCGTCGGTTTTTGCAACCCATGGACAGGCCGCGCCGACAGCACCAATCCCCCTTCAGCAAACGTGTGCAGAGCGGGTGGTCCCGGTTCTCTCCCGTGCGAGTGCCTATGGTAAGTTCCAGCAGCAGGTCCCACGAGCACGTCGGCCTCTGCCCACCCCGTGTCGAGGGCCCATTGTGCGTCCTCTTTGGGACCAATACTCAACTGATCCGCTGACCGGTGAAATGGTTACCCTATTGCAGCAGAGTTGTCGGCAGATGCAGGGGTATCCCTTGTATGAGGCAGCCACTTTGCTTGAGACTCTCATGCAGCATCGTCGTCAACCCATGCCGCCAGCCGGCCACCCCGGGATGCCTGGACCCGTGCGTTTGAGCCTTCAGTCCATGCTCCCTGACAGCCAATCAACCACCCCAGCTCGCCCTGCTGTTCAGCAGGTCCAACGCCATGCGTTTTTCTTTCCTGCGCTCCCGGAGCATGCGTCTGCTGATTCGTATCTATGCATTGGCAGTACGGAGCTTGGCTTTACTGTTGGCCAACTGAACAATTTCCTTTCCGCCCCTGCTGATCTTAATAGCTGGGCTGATGTCGAAGAGCTGGGAGCACCGATTTCTAAGTTCAGCGGGTGCGCTCAGCAGGCTGCTATGGCTTCCTTGTCCAATGAGGTTGGGCGAGATGACGTAGTGCTTTATACCGACGGATCTTTCTTTCCCCCCTCTAGCACCTCTCACGCCCGTGCTGGCTGGGCAGTCATTTGTGTTGACATGACCACTCAGGAGGTGTCTCTGTCCTTCGGGCAAATACCACAGTTCCTGTGTGCCGAAAGCGAGCGGCCCACACCTTACCTCGCTGAATGCGCGGGTTTGCTCGCGGCAGGTGTGCTTCGCACCAACCTGTTTTATCGCCGTAGGGTGCACTTCAGATCTGATTGCGTTTCTGCCCTCGATGCGGCTGCGGGGCGCTGCACATTTCAGCTCGAAGGGCTCCCGCGTGTCATGGGCGCGGCCCATGCTTTTCTGCAGCTGGCCATCGGCCAAGAAGATGTCTACACGTACACGCCAGGCCATGCTGGCATTTGGGGGAACGAAATTGCCGATGTTGTCTCCAAATTCGCGGCCCGGAGGCATAGGGTCTCCTGTGGAGTTGTGGCCAGCCGGAGCAGCATCTCTTTCTGGTTAGACCCCGTGCATCCGCGTATGGAGCGGGCGGCCATTGTTGTTGCCCGACTTAGGGGCAACTCAGCCCTCCCTCCTGTGAATGACATGGGTCTCCACCGCGCCCATTCCCACGCAGGTCTGTCCGCAAGTCAGATGCTTGAGCCGTTCTTCCCCTTGAGGACCCCAGCCCCCCCCTGGCGCGGATGGCCAGCCACGGTGTGCTACCCTCAATCTCAAATGTGCTTCCTTCAACGTCTTGTCTCTTGGACCTGGTGCGGAGGAAGGCCTCGCGTACCAGCCGGCCAGAGCGGCCCTCCTAGCTGACCAGTTGGCCAAGGGTGGCATACATGTCGCGATGCTCCAGGAAACTCGGGCTGCCGAAGGCATGTCTGTTTGTGGCCCCTTTTTGCGCTATGCCTCCGGATCTGTGCGCGGGCAATTTGGTACCGAGATATGGCTCCGAGCTGGCCACCCTCTTGTCACTAAGACTGCCGGACCGGATGGCACTGTAAGCGTAGAGACCTTCCGCAAGGAGGCTATCGCCGTCCTTATGGTTGACACTCGTCGGGTTCTTCTCCGATTTTCTGGCAGAGACATCTCAATTCTTTTCGTTGCTTTTCATGCCCCCCACAGAGCCACGGAAGCCTGTCTTGTGGACTCCTGGTGGGCCGAAACCAAGCGTCTTATACGACAGCACCGCAGAGACTCCTTGGTTGTCTTGGGTGGAGACTGCAACGCATCTGTGGGAAGTGTCGTTTCTAGCCATATTGGCCGGCCTTTAGCTGCTGAGTCTGAAGATATTCCAGGAGAGCACCTCCATGTTCTGCTGGCCGACTCGGACCTGTGGCTGCCTGCCACCTTTGATTCCTGTCATACCGGAGAGACTCACACCTACACCCATAAAAATGGCAAGCACACCTGCAGGCCTGACTTCGTTGCAATCCCGGAGCTCTGGGCTCGAGGCCGGGTCACCTCCTGGTGTGATCCAAGCATTCATGCAGCTCATTCCACTCCTGACCATGTGGCTGTCTGTGTCGGTGTGACCCTCCACATGAGAGAAGGGGTCCGGTCTGGGTCTCTCTGCAGGCGTGCCAATCCCGTCAACGTGGTTGCTGATCCTGACTGTCAGACCCGCATTGCGACACTCCTCAAGGAGGCCCCTTGTATTCCGTGGGGAGTCTCCGTGCACGCGCACGCTGCCATTCTCGCAGATCATGTCCAATCGGGCCTTGCCAATATCAGTACGAAACATGTGCGTAGACCGCATCATGCCTACATCACAGATGAGACTTGGGGCCTCCAGCGCCAGGTTGCGCGTATGAGACGCGAACTCCATCGCCTCACGGGCCGCATCGCCCATCACACTCTGGCAGCCAGTTTTGCGGCTTGGCGTTTGCGCATCAGCTTTGTGCACGCGGCTGACACGGGCCGCCAATGGTTCACCAGGGCTGACAATGTCCGTACGCACCTTCAGCAGCAGCTTAAGGCGGGCTGTGCTGCGCTGCGAAAAGCCTGCCGCAAGGACCGTGATGCTCACATCTCTGCCCTGGCCCAGACCATCGCGACGGCCCCAACCAAAGACGCATATGCGGCTCTACACCGCGTGCTTGCTCACCGGCGCAAGAAACCTTTTAGTCTGGACCCGTTGCCAATGATACACCAGGGTGACGGGACGGCCTGTGCAGACGCCCATGAGCTTCAAACTCGTTGGAGGGAGCATTTTGCCAATCTTGAGCTTCAAACTCGTTGGAGGGAGCATTTTGCCAATCTTGAGGCCGGAAGGCCGACCTCCTTCGAGACCCTGGCCGATAGCATACCAGACTATGGCGGCGGGGAAGGGGTTCATCCACCCTGCATCACTGACGTTCCCAGTTTCCCCCTCTTTCGTAGAGTGCTGGCAGCCACGAAGTCTGGGCGTGCCCCAGGGATGGACGCCCTGCCACCAGAGCTGAACCGACTCTTTCCAAATGAGTCGGCTCATCTTTTATTCCCGCTGCTACTGAAGATTGCGTGGCAGTGTCAAGAACCCATGGGCTTTAAAGGCGGGCAGGCAGTCACCCTGTATAAGGGTAAGGGATGCCGAGCCACTTGCTCTTCTTTCCGGTCCATCCTTCTCATGTGCACCTGGGCCAAATCTATGCACCAAGCCCTCCGCCCTGCCCTACGTTCGGTGTTTGATCGCTCCGCTTTGCCGATGCAGATAGGAGGCCGCATTGGTTGCAGCGTTACTTTTGGTTCGTATGCCCTGCGTTCCACAATCAGGGTGCTTTCCGGGCAGGGCAGAGCCTGTTACGTCTTGTTTGCAGATATTTCGGCTGCTTTCTACACGGCTCTTTTGCAGCTTATTGCTAGCCGACCGGGCCTTGATGATCAGTCTGGTTTCGACAGGGCGCTCGAAGGTCTCCAGCTTCCTGCTGAGGCCCTTCAGGAAGTTCGGAATCACCTGTGCGACTTTTCGGCCCTTTCCACGGCCAATGCGTCGACCTGGCTGGAGCATCTGGCCCTCAATGTAGGCACCCAGAATTGGTTTCTCCTTGTCGGAGACGATAAGCCTGTTCAAACAGGCCGTGGAACCAGACCCGGCAGCTCCTGGGCAGACGTTTTGTTCGCCATTCTGATCCCGCGCATCCTTGGCCGGCGCGATGAGATCCTACAATCGCTGGGTTCTCTGGCCCGGGTTCCATCTTTTCGTTGGGATGGTGGCAAGTGCCTTCAGCCGGTGCCGGCCGATGCCCCTGTTTTGGAGGCCAGAGATGTCATCTGGGCCGATGACATTGCGGTGCCCAAATTCTGTGCTCACGCGGCCGAACTCCCTGTTGCTGTTCGGCGAGAAGCGACTGCTCTGGCTGAGGCTTTCTTTGAGTTTGGTTTCCGTTTGTCGTACGGTGACCACAAGACTGCCGCCCTGATCTCCGCATGTGGCCATGGCAGTAGGAAGACTAGGCGGGACCTTTTCGGTCAAGGCGGGCCCAAGGGTGGCATTCCTTTGCTCTTCGAAAATCTCTCGGCCGCCCGCCTACCTCTGCCGCTCCGATATAAGCATTTGGGTGTGCAGCAGATGCCCCTGGGAGGAATGCTAGAGGAGCTCCGTTTCCGCACCTCTCAAGCACGCAGTGCTTTTGCTGAGGCGAGGCGCAAGGTCTTCCGCTCCAGAGCCATCCCGTTGCGCCGAAAAGCCATGATCTTGGCGTCTACTGTGCTTTCTAAGCTCTTGCTCGGGGCCGGGTCATGGCCGCCTTTGAATAAGCGTGAGGAGAGACTCTTCGATGGCACCCTTTGGAGCTTGTACCGTAGCGTTCTGGGCATTAAATTTGCCGAGGACCAGCACATTACCGCATCCACGTGCTTTGCCCTGCTTCAGATGCCGGACCCTGGGGTGACGCTCCGCTGCTCCCGACTGTCGTACTTGGCCCAAATGTTGCGTGCTGCCCCTGACCCCCTTTGGGCTATTGTCAGAGCTGATCTGCCCTACATGGAGCTTTTGTGGCAGGACCTCAGCTGGCTTTACGCTTGGTGCCACTGTACCATGGATTGGCCCCACCCTCGCGCCGACTGGGGCTCATGGGCGACGGGCATCGTGCGTTTCCCAGGCAGATTCAAGGGTTTCTGCAAACGCGCTAGGCTCCTGACAGTCTACCAGCACACTGTCCGAGCCGCCCTCGACGGGCTCCATCGAGCGCTCTGTATCATATCCAATATCCGCCCAGACGCTCCCGCTGATTCTGCTGGTACAGAGCATACTGAGCTCTGCCTGCCGTGTCGACGCAGCTCTCCTTGGTCTCATGGTCGGGACATGCTGCCCGTAAGCACGGGTACCGCTCCAGAGCTTACTTGCTCCCGAGTGACTGTGTCTGCCGAGGTTGCGCCAAGCTTTTTGCCTCGCGCCACAGGCTCCGTCGTCACTTGGTGACGAGCCAGCACTGTGTTGCCAACTGGGGTGCCTTCGACCCCGCAAGCAGTGAGCTTAAATTGCAAGGACACCCTTTAGCGCCCCCAACGGTTACCCGAGGTGCTTGGCGCCAGGTCAGCCACGGCATGGAGGAAACCGATTTCTCCCCCACCCTTCTTGCTTCCCTTGAGGAGCTCGATGGCTGTACCGAAGAAGAGGTGTGGGAAGTTGTCGAGGGCGTCATTGAGCCCTTGGCGGTTCTGCGCGCCACTGTCCTCTGCTGGAGGAATGCGCACCAGGCCTCGGAGTGGCATGCTATGGTTGCGGAGAATGTTCTGCTCCTCCTGGACCCAGCTGTGCTTGCTGATTCCAAACAAGCGACCAAACCTCGCCCCCCTAAACGTTGGGACGTGCCACCTGAGTGGACTCTGCCGGGCGCAGCCTCCCTTGCTTCGCATGGGGAGCGCGTGACAAGAACCGTCACAGCTCCACCGCCTGCCGTTTTGCCACCCTACGGCCCACGCTCTATGCCGATTCGACTGGCATTCGCCTACGCCCTGTGGCTTGAAGACGTCACCAGGATCCTTGCTGAGGTCACCAGTCTGGCGATTCAGCACCCTGTATCGCTGCAGTGCAAGGGTTTCGCTAAGGCCATAGGCGTTGCTGGTGACTGGCTTACAGCCAGCGGGTTCGAGGTTTGGGCAGATGGTATGGGCTCCTGATTTCACCCAGTCTCACCGGAATTCACATGCTAGGCGAGCGACAGCAGATGTCACTACCGCTGCGAATGGAAAAAAATGTATGTATGTATGTATGTATGTATGTATGTATGTATGTATGTATGTATGTATGTATGTATATGTCCCTGAGCAGAGCAATGTGGGTGCTTTGGGTGCCTCTGGCACCTCGCCGCCGGGATCCCTGATCTCCAGCCTCCTGATTTCGGCCGCCGTTTTTGATCACCAGGGCTCTGTACAGGCCGGCGACCCTACCTGGGACCAACAGCGTCCATCGACTGCACCGACTGCAGTCCCCGGCACTTTGTCTGACGATGAGAGATCTCCCTCATCCCATCTGTCATACATGCTTTGCTGCACTTGCCTGCCTCCCTGGCCCCCAGGACCCTTGTCCCGTGCTCCTGAGCCTCGCCTTTGCGTAGGCAAACGCCTTCGTGTTGCCAAGCTTCGCCAGAGCCAGCTCAGGTCTCGGTCCAAGCATCGTCGCCGACGTCACCGTCAACGAACCTGGCACCACGGATGGACGTGTGGTGGCCTCATCATCACGGCTCTTGTCGCTCTGTCCTTCCTTTGCTGCAGGTTTGTGATCACTTCATGGAGATTGCTATACACACACCAAACCAGAAACTTGACATTATCTGCTGCGCCCGGTCCCAAGTCCGGGCGGGGTTACATTCCACGGCACCCCTCGAAGGTGCCCATGCTCTCTCTATTGATGACTCACGTCATGTTCGCTAGCTGCAATGCTACAGTATTAACCCCTGAGCCGAGGTTTGGAGGCACTAGCCGTCGCTATCCTCCTGAAGCCGTCCGTGGCTTGCCCTCGTTGTCCCCTGCCGAGGCAAAGCCATTCGACCTCTCTCTCAACACAGGCCCGGCACTCCCAACAACTATTTCTTCTGTCCGGAAGCGCGCTTACTGAAGGGCCCTTGCGAGGGCAGAACGTACTGGACACACGTGCTATCGAGGCCGCACCGTCTACGCTGCGGCTGGCCCAGCTCAGCAGGACCGCTCTACCCCGGATGATCTGCCTACTGAATCTCCACCGCCACTCTCGCGGCGGTCACCTGTACCCTCTCGCTTCCATTATCTCAGTTGGAATGCCGGAGGCTTCTCCAGCTCCAGATATCAGCAGCTCGGTCTTTGGCTGCAGCAGCGAGCCCAGCACTTAAGTCTGGTGGCCATCCAGGAAACCCATTGGAGCTCCGACTGGACCTTTCGTACCCATGGCTGGAATGCTTTTCATTCACCGAGCACCGACAGAGTCTCGGGAATCCTCATCCTGCTCAATATGAGGTTCTTTCGGCCGGACCGCATCCAGTTCTGCGAACTTATTCAAGGACGCCTGGTACATGTTAGGCTTGAGGGCGAACCCTCTATGGACGTCCTGATTGTATATCAGTTCCTTTATGCGAGCTCAACTGCACACCCAGGACAGGAAGGACTGGACCGCTCCCTTGAAAGGCGCGCCAATCTGTGGGCCAAACTTCATCACAAGCTTGCGGGTCTCCCAGCCCGCAATGGGCTTCTGCTGACAGGCGACTTCAACTGTGACCTTCATTCGGATGGCCAGTACGTTGGAAGCGGCCTCAGAACCCGGCTCAGCCGACCACAGCCTGACCAAGACTCCTTTCAGAACCTCCTTCACACCTTCTCTCTCCAAGCGCCGAACACATGGCGAGGTGCGGCGCCGGGCTGAAACCTTCATCCCAGCAAGCGGAGGTAGGGGAACGCAGATAGACTTTGCCATAACAAGGCAACGCTCCACGGATGCCACTGCCAGGCTGGCCCAAGCTACCTGGCTCCCGTTTGTCGAGACCTCGGGCCTCCCTCACCTCCCTCTTGTGGATCCTTGGGAATGCCCCGTATCCCCAGGCTTAAGAATAAGCCCAAGACCACCTCCTTGGCATCCATTCGACAGGCGCTGCGTGTGGATCCAACCCTTGCCGATGTCTTCATGTCAAAGGCTCGCAGCGTCCTGGCTCAGGCCTCGGTGGAAGACCTCTCTGACCTGCTTGTCCAAGCCTGGCAAGACTGCGCTCCTGCAGCCCCACGCCACACTGACCGGACGGGGCACGGACCTCAAACGGAGCTCATTCTCGACCTCTGGCAGCTTCGCAAGGCCCGACGTCAGCACCTACATGTTCATGGCACAGCCCTCCCCTGGCCCAAGCAGGAGGAACTCCGCACTGCCACAAAGGCTTTAAAGGACATGTGTAAGGCTAACAAGCAGAGACGCATCCAAGCCCTCCTGAGGAAGCCGAATCTGCCGCCCACCGAGGCTTAACTGCTGTCTACCAAGTCGTCCGCAGAATAGCACCCAAAACCGCCCGCAAACCTATCCAGTTCAGGGACGACGATGGAGAGCCCCTCAGTTCTGCTCAGGAGGCCTCTCGCATTGGGGAATACTTCAAGCAACTCTATCGATCCTCGTGCCCCGAGGGAGCCCTCCCTTCGAATGCTGGTCTCATGCGGCTGCCTCAAGGTAAATTAAAGCAGTTCCCCCCTGTTCCCCCCTGGCTTGCCCCAGCGCCCCTCTGGGCACTGGCTGCAGACGCGCTTGCTGAGGTGGTGCACCCGGCTCTCCAGAGCTGGCAACAGAACATGCGGACACCCAAGCCAGGCCGCGGGCCTCAGTCGGCCCTCTGCCTCCATCCCATATCGAAATGCCTCGCTGTCCTGACCGCTGAGAGACTCAGAGCGCACGTGCAGGCTCTCGCTGTGCGATTCCCGCAATACGCATACATTGGACAACGCTCGGTTGAGGAGAGGGCGTGCGCACACTGCGCTGCAGCCAGAAGAGTGCTGGCAGGTCAAAAGTACAATCTGTTTGAGCGTCGCGCCGGGCATCAATCCGGGCACTGCAAAGGCGGGCTTACCCTCTCCCTGGACTTATCTAGGGCATTCGATTGCCTCCCTCGCCAGCAGGATGCTCTCTCTGTAAGCGCCTCTTCGCTTGAACCATCGCCATACGAGCTCCTGTCCTGCTATGGCTGAGGACCCCACATCATCACCCCTGGCGACCACGGACATCCTGCCCGCGCAGCATACTGCAGCACTCCCGAGATCTTCACAAGCCGCTGCTGGTGAATCGCCCCCCTCTCAGGTACTCCCTCGGCCACTATGCGAGGACTCGGCAGTGCGCCCCCTGATTCTCTTGCCGGACTGGAGGCCTCTCGCGCTCCACCTGAAAGGTATGCACCTTCGAAAGGCCCTCCAGCACTGCCCTCTCTGTCACCAGTGGTTCACGCCGCGTACCCGGGACATATTTCGTCACCTACGTAAGCAGCATGCTTTGTCCTCTGCGCTTGAACGGACACGGTCTGACTGGCTTCTGGCTCGAGCCGTTGGGGCCACCTCTCCCTGTCGCTGGAAAGGGCCACTGTTTCCTACAAATCCCAGCACGCCTCCTCGTGCCCTGTCCTCCAACAGGT